GTTATAATATAATACTTAACATTTAATATTGTAATTATTTAATTAATTACTTCAATATTTTATAAAATTAATTGATTATTTAATTATTAAATAATAAATTTTTACTATTGCAATTTACCGTTGTGATTTGTCAAAAATTGCAAATGAAATCAGAAACCGGACAGATGAAGAAAATTATCACATCACTAATCTGACATATGACGAAAATTATTTGACAGGTAAATTTTGTATTTTTTTTTTATAGATTTTTATTTAAGCATAATTTTTTTAATTTTATTTTGTGGATGTAATTTTAGGCATCAAAAGTATTAGAATTCATGATTTTTCAAAGTTATATGAAAATTACATTCTGGGAAAGTGTCAGTTTGTTTATTAGAGTCACAGACTGAAGGCTTAATTATGTCACAACAGAACTTTATTTGACAATTAATATTATAAAGTGGCATATTAAGAGTAGCGCCCTCTATTTATAACTGAACAGAATCAAATATTTGATTTCAGCTTGTTTTCTTTAAATTTGCAAATAATTGTTGAACAGAGTTTAAAAAATCCAAAATGAATTAAGTAATTTTTGTAATTTAATTTGAAGATCAAATATTTGGTTCTTAAGAGGGATTCTTGTCTGTCAGCTCATATTGTTTCATTAAATTTCATTCTACTATCAAATTTTCTTGTATTTTATTACCAAATCTAAATTATTAAGAATATAAATTTATTCTAATTTGCCTATCTCTAATTAATATACAAATAAAATTATTTTATATTTTTAACATTATAAAGAATCATTATTTCCCGTAAAAACCACATATAGAACATACAACTATATACAAGTACTTATATACTTACTTATTAATTACTTATTTTTATTATTCTTTCTTTGTGTCACGTGAACATTACAATGTATTTTAACCCCAAACTCTCTACAATATATAATTTACTGTAAGTACATACATACATGAATGGCTGGGCTCTCTACATTTTAGTAATAAGTACAAAAAAAAACAAGCAACAGCATAAATTTAACAAAAGTACTTCTTTAAAAACAAAGTATTGAAAACAAAAATAAAAATTTATATGACAAGAAAAATAATAATAAATTTATAATCACAATAAAAAAAAAAACACAAAAAATTATAAGTAAAAGGATAACAAAATAGATGGAAAAGGATATTTTTTTTTAATTATTATTAAACTGTATAAAATTGTGGTGTTGGTTTACCCATCAATTAATAAATCGAAAAAATAAAAAAGAGAAAAATAACATGACAGGGAAAGCAGTAAAATAGACACACGCATTTTATTTACAGTTATTTAATGATAAATTAAAAGTGCTAAGAAAAACATCAAAAGGATACAAAGAGAGAAAATAATATTTAAGGATTTTGATGTGAATTTTCAATAGTAAAGAGGATGAAAATGAAAAAATAATGGACGGAAGGATTGTATAAATATGTTTTTTTTTTTTTGTTTGTTTGAAGTTTTGTTACTTTGGACGTATATAAATAGGCTCGACTGATAGAATGGTACAAATGGTTAATATTATTTTTTGTGTGCTTTGATTTATTTGTGGTCTATTTCATTGGATTTTTGTCATCACATTATTTGATTTTCCAATGAAAATCTAAATAGGTAAATGCCCGCATTCGAATAATAGGAAAATATAATCAATGGAAAAAATAATCTTTGTTACAATTAAAATAATCATTTGTAATTTTAAAATTACAGTAGATAGTAAATAGTATTTAAAGAATAAGTAAGTGGTTAGTAAACTTATATGACCATAGATGTGTCAACGTACTCACTGATGTCAGTGTAGACTGTAGATTAGAACGACGATACACCGCGACCTAAATGATCTTTTGTCCTTTCACGAGTGTCCAGTATTTTGTCTAGAGCACATACCCGAAACCCACACTTTTGATGAATACGAGAAACTTTTTCTCCGGAAAAATATCTCATAACAACATACTCAACAGGAAGGGTCCACGAAAGCTATCACTCTCTTGTATTATTATATTATATTCAGCTTGTATTGTTATATTATATTCGTTATTCTATTGAATTCGAGATACGAAAATATTTAATTTAAATCTAAAGAAACTCTTATTTATTATTTATAATCCAAAATGTCAATTGGGTTTATTCAATGATTAAATGAATAACTTATACAACTTAAGTCAACTTAAAATTCTGGTGTTCTAAATACCAAATTCTAAAATTTAATTGGATTGAGTATATCTTTTTGGTTCACCTTTTTTCGAATCAATATCCTTCTCCAATACATATTTAAAACTCAATAGCCAATATTTGTTCTGCCCTCAATTTTTTTTCATTCCTCAAAAACGAAAATTTCCAAAAATTTAATTTTATTTAAAAATTTTAGAATTCATAGTTTATAGAAGGATTTTTGTTCATTTTTAAACATTTTGCATAATATTTATTTTCTGACTAATGCACGTTGTGTTTTTTGCCCACATATTTAGTCATAAGTTTAATTCAACTTTTCTATTTTGTTTTAATTTTCACGAATCCCGACACAATTTCAATTTTTTTTTTATTGTTTTTATTATTATTTTCTAGATGCATAAGTCAATTGATTGAGTTTCTTAATGAATTCAAAGCAATATTTTCCTAATAAGTACCTAAAGTAAATTTTATAAAACATTTCAAATTCAAGTTCAAATTGCTAAAATGACAACAAAAAAAAAAAAAAAAAAAAAAATACAATTAGAAAAAGGCTAACCATTTGGCAACATTTAAAAAAAAATGTCTAGTAAAGTTAAAAAAAAGAAACCCGCTCATCCCCGTCCCGTCATTCGCCCTCTCATATTTTTTTTGTTTTATTGGTTTTGTTTAATAATTCTCACACGATTTTCAATTTTAAATCGAAATATACCAGTTATTTTTAACATTCAATAAAATTCCAAAAATGTAATTAAAAATAACCATTTTTGAAAAACCTAGATTTCCTTCTTTACTTACTTATATAGGCTCAGTGGAAAAATGAAAAGCAAAAACAAGTTTAGTTTTTTAAAAAATCATTTGAAACATTTTTTTTTGCAATTTATAATTAGATTTGAAACAAAAACAGAAAACAGCAATGTCACATTAATTATCCATTTTTGGGTTTTCTATATTTCAAAAAAAAAAAAAAAATGTTTTCCCAATAAAATTGAATTGATTTAAAACTAATAAGAACATAGAATATAGTTAGTTACTAACATTTCTAAAAATATGTCAAAATCAACAATGTGTCATAATATGAAGAGTAAGAGAGAGACTGAGAGAGAGAAAGAAAGAAAAATGATGACGGAATCTCATCTTCGAATAATTTTTATGCATATTATATGAATGTATGTTATAAAAAAGCAATATAAATTTCATTTGTTCTTAAGATGACATTAAAAAAAATAATATTGCTTTATTTAAGTAAGCGTTTACACAATATAACACAATTACGTTAACAGATTCTTAAAATTTTTGACAACTACCCTGCATTTTCATGCGTCGTACTTGAAGCCCATTTTTATGTAAGCCATATAAATGTTACTTGACTCGAAGCTGGCTTGAAAGGCTGGAGAGCTTGAATATTACAGCACATAATTTTTTTTGTCATAAATTACATTTATCTTTACATTTATTATAGTATGTATTATTTTTGAGGCTGACAAATACAGTTTGAGTTTTGAGCTAATTCCAACACAAGTATTCATATGAACGAGGTAAATGACAAATTTATTTCAATACTTTTAGTGCAGAAATATATGTACATGCACTTCTGGCATAATATATATAATATTTATGTATATATACTTAAATATGTTTGAGAATATTGAAATTAGTAAATGATTATTTAGATTTGAATGATTGAGTCCAAAATTTAATGTAACTTGATAATTAAAATTAACAAAAAAAATTTCAAGTTTCTTATTAAATTTTCAATTTAAAATGAAGCTTATCCTTTAGCAAAGTTAAAGTGTTAAAACGAATAATTTTAAATGAAACTTAATAAAGCGATCCCTAACTGGAACTTTGAATTTAAATTTAAAAATAACTAAGTGTGTAGATTGGTATTCATTGATAACGTATACTGAAACTAACGTAAAAGAAAGAGTAATTGTCAAATCTTATTTGAAAAGCAAATAAAAAAATTTCCTAAAATTAATTAAATATGTATATGTAAGTATTTTTTTATTTCCGCAAGTTTTCGTTTCAAAGAACTGAATATTGTTAGACCCCAACTGAATTATGCCATTCAGCCATATGTTACTTAACTATACAATTAATGTTATACTGTCACTTTCATATAATAGTCTATGTCGCATATTATTTAAATTCGTATCTATATTGAACAAATAAATAAAGAATTTTTGAAAACAATTAAGTATATTAAAATAAGCAAGAAAAATATTCAAAACATTATATTTGAAGACTGTATCAGAAATAAATTACTCAATTCAAGAAATAAGAGGTTCTTAGTTAACTTGTCTTTCTCTTTCAATAAATTTACATTTATGTAAGTATTTAAGTATAAGATCAAATTGCATATATACTTAAATAAGTTATCATTTTTTATTATTATTATCTTTTATTTATATAACATATGCAAGCATATATATTCAATTTTAATATTACTTATATAATTTATTAAAATTTTTATAGAAAAACAATAATCAAATCATGAACGAATAAGTAGGTAAAATATTGTTATAAAAATTTACTATAATTATATACATATACTCCTATATAGCTGTAAAGTATAATGTATTCCAATTTGATATGAAACGTACATATACTTATGTATAATAAATTCAATAATATTATAAAAACAAGGAAAAATAATAATAATAAATTATTATATTTAATTATTATGCTGGACATGCTTTATAATATATAAGTTAGATTACAAGTAAATATATTGTAATGTATAAGTAATATAAAATATACTAATAAATATAGTATGTATATATATATAAAACAATTTTATATTTTTCTCTTACCTCTGTATTTAGATTTTATTTACTTATTTATTTATTTATTTATTTATTTAAAATAAATAGTACACCTGTGATCTCGACATAATAATCACAATATTATGCATGTATACATTTTGTATTTATGTATATATATACGTATATTAAATAATATGAATAATAATAATGAGAGACGACAAATTTTCAAATATGATGTTATGTTAAATGTTATGTTAAATCTTATTTTTTTTATTAAAACTTGTTTTTTTTTCTGTCTCTCTAATTTACTGGTTTATCCAATCCAATCACTTCACTCACTTGTAAAAAATTTAAAATTTTTATGTTATTCTAATTACTTTTATATTAAGAGTATATTTATGTATTAAGTATGTATAATAGTTTTATTATTAAATTTTTTGATAATATTGAGAATGTTTAGTATAATAATTAATATGCAATGTATGTATGTATATATTATATAAAAGATATTTTTCCAACGTGGACTTTTATGTAATATTTTGTTTTTGTTTTTTTATTATTAATAATTTTGCCGCCGATTTTTTGTATGTTTTGCAATTTAATTTTTAAATTGATTTTGTTGTTGTTGATTTGTTTTTTTTTTGTGATTTTTTTTTTTTTTGTGACTTATATTCAAAGTTTTATTTTATTATTTTATTAGGTTATATATACATAATAGCTATATATAATACCTTTAATTGTAGATAAATAATTGTATGTCTTGTAAAAAATTTAAGATTTTATTAACTATATTTTTTAATGTGTATGCACTTTTATTATAGTTTTGTGTAAATTAATATTATTTTTTTATAAGAAATTGAGAACAAAAAAAAAAAAAACAAGAATAGTATATTGAGAGCTTTAAATGAATTTTATTGTTAGATTTGAATTTCTTCATTTATTTTTGCATTTATTTCTTATATTTTAAAATTTACGTAAATAATCTTAGATTTTTAATATTTCATTGTAATTTTAAAGTTCAAATTTATTAGAATAATGGCATATTGGTTTTAATATTTATTCTTAATTTAATTTTAATTTTTTTATGTTGTTCACAAAGGCTAACAGGGAATGATAACAAACAATACAGCGATAGAGAGAGTGAGAGAGCAAAATATATCATGCAAATGTTTTTTCTTATATTAAAAAATGCGTTTTTTTATTTCTATATTTTTTTTTTTTTGTCTCTGTTATGATTTTATATTTAATGTTTCTGTTAATTTTTGTAATAATTGTTATGCACGACGATAATCTCTTATTAATTTTAATGTTTTGAATGTAACTACCTCTAAATATACAAATTTCTTATTATTTATTATTAATATTAAATACTATTTTGTATGTATTAGCAAAATGTGTAAATGAATGCTTTTGCTTGTATTGCATAAATAAGTAAGTATTATAAAATTTTATTGCTATGCTTATATTGCAAAATTATATTTTTGCAATATATTGAATAAGATTGTAGTTATTTTAAAAAAGATTATTAAATAAGTTCTTTTTAGCCTTTTATTATTTTAATATTAATTTAAGATAGAAAGAGAAATACTTTTATTTTTAATTTTTTTTTAGCACACATTTAAAGCACCACTTTATTTTGGATTTAAAATTTGTATTTTTTTTTTATTTGCTTAATTTAAAAAATATTTTTTTTTTGTAAAATATATTATGTATGTATGTTTGTATGTAGATATACAAAATATTATTATTTTTATATATATAATTGTAATTTGTAATTAATATTTATTGCAAGCATTTATTTATATTTTATTATTAATAATGTATTTAGAAAGATTAGAATTTAATTACTTAATTTTATTTTTTCAAAAATATATATTTTTTTTTGAATTTATTATAAAAAAATCACATACTTCGCTTATAGGCAAAAATTGGTTTTTTTTTTATTAAAATATTCTTTATGTTTTTCTTGTGTTATTGGATGTTTCTCTATTTTTACTGTTCTGCAAATAACTATTGAATTAAAATTATTAATGTTATTAAGATTAATAAGAAAAAAAAAATGAGAAAGAGAGATTATGAGAACAGTTCTGTGTTTTTGTTTTTTTTTTTTAAGTTAATTTCAATTTTATTCACTGTCATTACAGAGTGAATACTTTTTTCAATACTTTTATTGTTGTTGTTGTTTCTCCGTACTTAAAGTTTATTGTACCCTTTTTTTTTATCCAATTTAATATTATTATAATTTTACCTTAAAAAAAAAAGGAAAATGTAATTATTATATAATAATTATTGTAATTTATTGTATAATATTTTGTTTATAAGCACTATCATGAATTTTTCTTAAAATATAATAATAAATTTTTGTATAAAAATGTCATTGACCTTTTGAGCGACATAATTCAAGGCCAAAATACTAATATGTAGACGTACTTATATACAATATATATATATATAAAAATTTAACCAAAATAAAATGTAAATTTGTAAGTCTTTTTTTTATTATAATTTTTTATTCTTCAATTCTATTTGTTTTTGTTTTTTATTTTATTTGTTTTCTCTTCTTTTTTGCTTACTGTCGTGATGACATGTAAATAATAAAAAAAAAATGCTCTTTTTTTTCTCTTATAATAAATTCTTATGATGTCATTTCAAAATTTTTTATGTATTTTGTTGATCTTCACAACGCAACAGTAATTATTACCATATTATTAAATTAAAATTTTTTGAAATTATTTTTAATTTATTGAAATTGAAAGAAGAAGATTGTATTCAATACAATAATTTTACATAGCAGTAATATTGAAATTTTTTGTTAAATTTGGAAAATACTTTTTGAAAAAATTTTTTTTTATTAAAATAATTTTATATTTTATTCGGACAACATTCATGAATGTTTTTTTTTTTTTTTAAATTTGAATTTTATAAAAATTTTTAATTCACAATATGCATAAATTGTTAATAATTGAATGCACTTGTGAATAATGAATTAGAATAATTATGTTTTATGAATAAGTGTGTATATATACTTGCATATTATATGCATGTATGTATTTTAAGTATTTATACAAAATATGCAATCTTGTATAACTATGATTTTGTATTTCTTATTTACTTGTTTTGTTTTTTTTTATAATTTTCATGGATAAGTTATTATGTATCTGTTGCTGTTGCTTTTTTACATGTATTTTGTTTTATTTAATTTTTTTTTATTATTATTACTGCTACTGCTGCTTATATGCACTTAAATCCAAATATATGTACTTAAAGATTGGCAGAGAATTGACTTCTTTATGCACCTAATGAATGTAAGATAACTTTTTATTTTTTGTGATTTTATGTTTATTTTTTCTTAAAGCACACCTGGCGATTTTATTTTTTTTTTATAATTCTTGTTTTTTGCTGTTCTTTCTTTGATTTTTTCATTTCTACTAAAGTGTTTTTTTTTTTGTTTAATTTTTCTTCTTCTTCTTCTTCTGCACAACAACAATAATGGAATAAGAATAATAATATTAAAAGAATTGTAGGTAGGTAAGGTAAGGTATATTATTGACATGCATGCATTGAAATTTTTGTTATGGATGGAAATTGAAAGATAAGATCTTATTAAAAAAAAAAAAAGAAAACAAAATTATATTCTTTTTTTTTTTTGTATAATGTTGTTGTTTTGTTTATTTTTTTCTTCTTTTTTTAAATTTGTATTAAGTAGATGTTTTTAAATATTTTTATTTTATATTTTCTTTTCAAACAGTAAAATATTAAATAATAAATTTTCTAATAACTTCACAACTAATATACAAAAATGTAATGTTTATACAATACAAGTTGGTATAGCAGTAAAAAAAAAAAAAGAATAATAAAAGTGCATTTATTATTATGAAAGTAAAAAAATCACAAAAAATATTACCGAAAATAGAAATTTAATTTTGTAGAATTTAAAATAAAATTTCTCTTTATTCCAAAAAGAAATTTTTGCAATACTAATAGAAATATGAAAACTATATTTTTTTTTTCAATAATTTTTGCACTAATTTTTATTTAAGAAAATATTTCTTTATTATACAAAACTTAATTTTATTTTTTTTTTTTATTTATTTAATTAATAATATAAATTTGTGTTATAAAATTCAGTCTTTTAATTATTTATTTTTTTTTTCCTTCACTATTTATTTATACAAAAAAAAAATTAATCATAAATTCTTTTAAAAATGTTTTCATAGTCAAAAATATATTTTTTTTTTTCTTTTAATTTTCAAATATGAAAAAAAAAATTTCAAAATTTATTTTATATAAAATTCAAACTGTACTGAGTAAGAAAAAAATATTTACGACGCGCCCAAACTGGCACTTGACAAAGAACTGAAAAAATCAAAATTTAAAAGAAAACAAAAAGAGGAATTGAATTTTTTCATTTTTCTTTTTTATTATTTTATGTGCTACCTCTATTTTTCCCCCTTTTGATAAAAATTCTTAAATGCAAAAGAGAGAGATAGATAGAAAAAAAAGAAGAATAAATAAAAAAAAAAACAAAAACTGAAATGCACTTTTATTTTTTGTTGTTGTTTTTCTTTTTTTTTTTGTATTTATTTTTTTATTATTTTTATAATATTTTGACGGCTTTTTGTTTTGAAAGAAAAAATTTCAAACATCATTTTTTGATTTTATATTCGAGGGTAACTCTGACAACAGAACAAAAACAATGTAGTATATATACTATGCTATATAAGAATGGTAAAAATTAAAATGTCAAATGTTAAGTCAAAACGAAAGAAAATGGAATATGGTATGTAATGTAACAATGGAAATTGGAATGAAAATTATATTAATGTAGTATTGAAATCGGAATATTGTAAAATTGGTTTGTTTCTTTGATTAAAATTTACAATGTATTCATGTTAACAATGGTTTAGATTCACAATTATAAATAAAAAATTCTATTTATGACATCCTTTTGCATGATAACGAATTAAATAATGCTTTGTAAACTAAATGATCTAAATATATAAGAAGTAAATTTTGCATACAAATAAATATTATTTAATATTTAAATAAAAACAAATTTTTATTTAAAATAATAAATATTTAAGAAATATATTTGTTTTTAATAAAATAAACAACATCCCTAACTGATTATATTCGTTAGCTCTACAATATCTTTTATTACAATATTTCTGATATTTCTGATAGAACTACATTATTATCCCTTTTTTACCATTGTTAGAAACGACACTTTATGTAGGCACTTTAGAGACAGAGTTTAGACACTTTATGTAGACACTTACATAATTAAATACATATTCCAAAAAAATTTAAAAAACTATAATAATTTAAATATTAAAGCATGTTAGTATGTATAAATTATAAAATGAGAGAAAAGTTCTGTTATTCTCTTTTTTATAACCGAATTGATTACATACATAAAAACAAAAAACAAACAAAAAAAAATTTAAAAACAAAACTGTAAATATCATACATTTATGTAGCTAATCATGCGAACGTAAATGTGAATTATGTGTGCATAAATGTACTTGTTACGTACTTGACTTGATTGTTGATTTGACAGGGGTGGGAAACAAATTGAAATAAAAAAAAAATTACTACATAAACGTATAGTTATATGCAAATATGTATATGCGTGTATATAATATGTAAAGTGAAATATTTTTAATGTTTTGATTGACTGTACTTTTATGCATAATAGTGTAAACACTGTACATATTAGTGAAATTTAAAAAAAAAAAAATTTATTGTCTTAAATTAGTGCTAACGAATTGTGTTTTTAAAATCAAAAAGTAAATTTGATATCTTATAATAATTTTTTACAGTTATTTTAAAATATTATCATCAAATTAAATTCTAGCGTTACCGTTGTAACTTATTTATTTTTTAACTTTAGCGTTTATGACATGCATTTTGACTCTACTAAACGTCATATACCCGCAATTACCATAATAAGATCGAAATAAAAGAGTTTTTAAATAAAAAACTTTTAAAATGAGCACATTTCATAATAACCTGTAAAATGTACATTTTATTGGTCTTTTAAATAAAAAAAAATTAAAAAATGTAACAAGTTTTTTTTATGTTTTTTTTTAATTTTATTTTTAGTACAACTTAAAATAATTTCAATTTAATTAATTTAGTTTCTTATTCAATACAAAATGATTACATCATTTAAAATTCATAACTTGTACCCATTCCACTGAATTTAACATGTGAAACATCTGTGGAACGTAAAAATTTATTTTTAACATCTCTACTAAATATTTTTCCACCATTATCTAAATTTGAAAATGTTGGTTTAATAAATTTAATTTTTGGTTGATCTAGAAAATTTTTTAATGTAACCGTTTCAAATAGTTCTGGATATGATTTAACAATATTTTTTAAATCTTCATGATGTTTTAAATCAGATAAATCATCTTCATCATTTGAATTCATATGAGATTTAATTGCCAAATTACTAAAACGATGCGGTTGAAGTTCATGATGTGTTTCATCATTATCTCGAAATACAAAATAATGTCTTGGCCGACCATAATTAATTTTTGGTAATGCAAGAGTATATAAATTATCTGCTTTATATTTATTTGCGATTCCAATTAATTTACTTGCATCCAAATTTGGTATGACTTGATCTAAATTGTATGTATCGGGTGAAATTGATTTCTGTTTATGTAATTCTCCAAAATTTTCTTCAGATCCTAATTGTGTTGTTAGAAAATTTGAATTCTTAAATTTATTATCAATAATTGGTTGATTATCAATTTGATGAGCATAATTTATATTTTCATATAATGATCCATGATGTGCATGTATTAAATCATCTTGTAATGGAATTCCTTTAACATAGAATATTAAAAATGAAATAATAAAGATTTTCATGTAAACCTAAAAAGAAAGAAAGAAGAAAAATATATTAAATTAGTAAAATAAATTTAATTTGCATTTCAACATTTGCATTATAAATGACTAAACATTTTTGTTATGTTATATAAAAATAAAGACTTCTACGATCAACTTAAATTCGATATCGTATTGTGCTCGTTCTCATCGAAATTTTTCTCCTAAATTTTAAAATTAATAACGATTTGAGCTATTGTGAATACCAATTATTTTTAATAAAATAATACAAAAAATTTGTACTAATTTCCGTCGGTTCTGATCTATTCTTGACTTTGCTTATTATTATGGTTTGCCTTGACACATGAAAAATAAAAAACAAAATCGTCACGTATATTTGGATTATTTACAGTTTACGTATTAGATTTCATATACATAGGTAAATTCTTTTAGATGCAATACCTAAGTGATAAAATTTTTTGACATATTATTTTTTTTAATTTTACTGCGTTACAACCTTGTAACGTTTTTCTATATATTTTTTTTACTAATAACATTGAATTTTCTACTTTAATACATATTTTTTTCTATTAATATTATTTTTTCCCAAATTTAAATTTAAGTATTAAATTTTCAAATTTTTCAGCTTTCAATAAATGTCAATTATTTTTCCTAGTTTTATTGAATTGTTTTAATTTTCTTTAATTGCGAAAAGCAAATAAGAAGTAAAGAAGTGTTAGAATTTTTTTTTTTAACTAGAATCACATTGATCGGTAAATATAACGCCAATAATAAAAATGTTGCCAACATATAAAAAAGTATTAGAAAAAGTGGTTAATACATAGATAGAAAAGTACTTGACGAGTAGCAACATGTTATATGAAGTACAAGTACAGAAATCGATTACAAAAACCGATACACAAATATTAAAATTAGTATTAATATGTAAATGTGCAATAAATTTATACATACTGCAATATTATATTACTTCATTTTAGTTATTGTGCATCAATACTATTCTTAGCCAACAACACTAAACTTGACAAACTGCAAATAATACAAAATAAGGCAATGAGAATTGTTATCAAATATAAGAAATATAGAAGAATGCATATTAATACGATGTTATAGATAATTTGAAATAGATGACTGTTATAGAAGTAGAATTATGTATAATACGCTTTTATTAATAATTTAAATTAATGAATTGATGGACTATTATACCAAAATATGTATATATGGACATTGACTAAATAGGTGGATATTATTTAAAAGATCAAAAATTAGGAGAAATGCAAGAGGGAAAAATCTTATTCGAATAAATTAAGAAATATATACATGTATTAAAGTAAATTATAAATATTAAATAAATAAATTAAATATAGGTAATAAAATTAATAAGATTATTGTTGTTCCTTAAATATTTTTTTCAAATTAATATATAATTATCCTAATTAACAACATACGTAATGATTTATTCATATTATGAAAAGCAATAGTTCGACACCTCATATTTTCAAAATTTTAATTAAAAATCATTGAACTTATAATAAATAATTAATCTTTATTTTCTATTATCACTGAAATATAAAAATTACGCTGTCTATATTAAGAATAATTTCAAATTATAGCCTATACCCGTACAAAAATCACTATATACAAAAATTAATATTGTTGCATATAATTATGTAAATTTTCCATTAATGTACAAATCACATTAAAAAAACTCAATTGTCCGGATAATTTAATACATAATTTTTAATTAATAACCGAACCAGTTTCATTTTATCAAACACGAATATTGTTATGACAGCATAAAAATAATGAAAGAAAAAAATATCATAAAACTAAAAATTTCTTGCTTGTAATTACACATAGTAAGAATGTATACAAAATAATTATAGTAGATGCACTGCATATTATATATCGTATACATTTAATGTAACAAACTTCATACATAACCATAATAAAAACGATAGTTAAACATGCAAGTCGTCTATTCTGTTTTCCACAACATAATTTCCATAAATTTATCATCATGATATTTGAAATTAATTTAAAAAAATTTCCCTAAAATTTAATTATTACAAAATATTTTTTACTCTTTTTTTTTTTAAAAATTCTTATTATATAATTTTCATTATGTTCATTTTATTTATTGGTTTTTCTCATTCAAATTTTTTTAAATTTTTCACTTCAATTAAACACTTTTAATTAATATTATATTTACACATATAAAAATATAAACAAACAACATAAATTTTTCACTATACCTTTAAAAACATTGCATATACCGTTTTGTTTTTATATCTTCTCTTTATTTTTACTTTTCACTTAATTTTATATTTATAATAATTTATTAAATAATATGTGAATATGTGTGTATGTATGTATATGTTTAATTTGAACTATTTCAATCAAAAGCTTAATATCAACTGATCCATATTCAACAGAATATGATCGTTTTTTATACAAGTAATAATGAGTTTTTCATATGTGTAATTATAACCCCGACTCCCACAAAACTTTTAAAGAAGAAAAATCGTACTAATAAGTGTATGGAATTATTCTTTATTATAATATCCGTATCCAATATGTGTTTATAGAAATTACTTGCAATTAAATGAAATTTATCCGCCACAAATTGCTTTTATAATACGTATATCCGCCGCGAAATGTCAAAATTCATATAGAATACACATATTTAAACAGGACTGCTCAGAACCAAGGAAATCACCACCGGCGCTAGAATAATCCAAATTCCTATTTTACCGCATGCGTTTTTTTTTTACATTTTCGGTTTACATCAGTTGTTTTTGTCGTTCGGATCTTATTCTGGGTTAACAAAAGAAATCATGTGCTCTTACCGTTCACCGCTTTGGCTATGTTTTTATAATTAGACAAAAAAAAAATAAAAAAATAATCATTCGTATAATTTTATGAGACAGTGGATAACAATGATTTTGGGATTTATATAACAAGATGTCAACCGAAACTCATAACACTTTTAAGTCATTTGTTGGGAAAATTCTTAAATTTGTCAAACGGATTGGGCTGCTTTCAGAGAAAACTCCATCCGAGTAATAACTGAACTGAACATATATTAAGAGTCTTCATGTAGTAAATTTGCATTACTGTTAGTTACTATTTACAATGCGTGCATTTGTGTAACGTTTTGACAGATATTGTTGTTGTTTTATATATAAAAATTTGTCCAGCAATATTTTTTCCTACAGTATACAATAAATTCGAACTAAGAGCTCGCAGTATATTCAAATAAAATTTTTACTAAATCATTTTATCAGTAACAGTAATTGAATACTTCAACTATTTTAAAAATTATATGAAAATATAAAAGAAAACAATATAAGGTAAAAAAAAAATAATTACACGCACATTCAATTCAATCCTAACTTGTACACATCTTAACTACATAATATATCTGAAAAAAGCCCCATATATGTATATATATATATATATATATAAATGTACAAAAAATCTACCATAAATTCACATCAGTAAGTTATTTTGTAATATTCACAACATGTGTGTAAAACTATAAAATATGAAAAGTATAGAGGTTTTTTGTTTTTCTTTTAATTTTTAGACTTTTTTAAAAAATATTGTTTTTTCTTACTATACTATTGTGAATATACATATACGTATGTATACAATGTGACTATAGTGAATAAAGGTATTTAAAAATCTTTTTTTTTTATAAGAAGACAAAAATATTTTAAACATTTTTTAATAAAAGTCACATAATTTAAATAGCATATTAAAAAAAAAAAAGAAAATATACAATTATATTATTATTTTTATTAATTACTATAATCCACCAAAAAACAACAATAATAAAAAAAAAAGTGGTTTAATGTGGTTGATTATTGGTATATAGAGTGGTATATTTAAGACTAAACTGTTAGTTAAGGTATTTTTGTAATAATATTTTTATGTGAACCAGGTTTTTTATTTTAATGTACACGAGGAATTCATTTTAAATTTACATACATAAAAGCCGAGATGAGCCAAGTAAAAGTAAAATTTTTCCTGATTTTCTTAAACATTATTTTACACAAAAAAAAAAAGAACTTTATATAACACATTTTAACAATTGAATTTTAAAATTTTTAGATTTCATCCAGATTTATACGTGCTAACCTAATTACTTTACATTTCCTTGATTTGATAAGTTCAGAGCATCCAATAATTTTTAATAGTTCAGCTGACCACTGTTAATTTAATACGGTATATACTTCCTACAAAAATATTTACAAGAAAATTATTTAATTTGAGACAACTATTAAATAAATCTAATCTTAAATCGTATCCTGTAATTAGACCAATCATGTAAGTGATATTGTAGTAATTTTCAATATTATTTTCAATATATCGCAATGACTAATTAAATTATATCCTTCTCTTGTAGATTAATGCTTGCTCTATCATTACTGGAGAATGTGAATTCAAAAAATATCAGGTGCATCATCTTGTACGAGAACTGTTGAGATTCCATACTACCTTAAATAATAAATTTTATTATAATTTATATTAATTTATTAAATTAATATTTAGTACCTTACTTATTTCAATATGCTCCTTTAACATTATTATGTATTTTAAAAAATTCAGATGTCAAACTTGTCATATACATACATAGTATATAGGAATTGTTTTTATGTCAAATAATTAATTATGTATTCAATTTTTTTTTAATTTTTTCCTACTTTGTTGTTAACAAAATTTTATTTCAGATTATTATGATGCATAATATGTGATATCATAAGTAATTTTCTTTGATATTAATAGCAATAGTATAACAAATATAATTATTATAAAACTTAAATATTGAGATCAATGTACAATTATAAAAATTGAAGTCACTCTACTCATACAAGTTTCAATTTCATTTTAGTCTTTTATTTTTAAATTATTAAAATAATTTGGTTTTATGTAATATTTGTAATTATAATTAAGATTTTTAAATGTTCATAATATGTTTGGGTATACAAGGGGAAAAAAAAAATTAAATTGTTGTATAATAAAAAATTTTGTTGAATTTTTTCTTTTTTCATATAAAAATTCTGAAAGTAAGAAAAAAAAAAAATTGTTAAATTCATAAAATATTATGTGGAATCGACCATAAATATGAATGAAGGTAAAAAGGTTAAAAATAAAACAGAAAAACTACTTGAATTTTAACAAAATGTGCAGCATAATGGAAAAATCGCCTAAGTCAATTTGACAAAAAAATTAGGAATATTACAATGTTTGGGCTCTTATAAAGAAAAACTTGGATCGATTCCTTATATTCTAAAATAATTAAAGTAATTGCAATAAATTTATTGTAAAAATTAAATTTATATAAGTATAAAAATTTCTAAGTATAAATCACTATTTCTTTCCGAAAAACTACTTAAAATTGAATGATAACAAATTTTCAATCTAATACACTGAGCTTTTGTATAAGAATTCTTTGAGCTTTTTTAAGAATAATTTGAACGTATAATTAATTGGAAGCATAATAATAATATATAAATTCTACTATAATCTTCACCTTGACAGCATTTCTTTAATTTATTATTAAATACATTTAATACACATTTTTAGTTAAAATCCATTTTAATTGCTCTTTAAACTGTAAATAATTTCATATTGATTTATTTATACGTGATCAATTTGATATTCTGGCATTCTACACTGCTTGACAATCCGTTTAAAAACCACATAAAGAATCAAATATTTCAAATTTTATACGTTTGTTTTATTTTTTTTTTGATTTACAAATTAACAATCCATAAAAGTAAATATGTAATATAATATATAATTATTGAATTCTTTAAAATTTTAAATTAAACATTTTAAATTTTAAAAGTTAGTTAAAAATATAAAAACCGCATAAAGTAATATCAAAACTATAAAGATGATAATTTTCATATTTAAGAAAGTATTAAGCTAATATATTTTTGCGTCTAATAGGAAATCTCCTTTAATGCCCAATATTAGGTTATAATATTACAGTAATCAAAATTTCCATATTACCGCTAAGGTATACCGTGATCGGAATACACGCGTCGTAATTCATATTTCTTTCTATAAAAATATATTATTGGCGTTTATATTATAAATGTCAAAAAATTATATTAAAATGTCAAATTATAAATGTTGGCTGCCGCTCTATTATTTCGACATAATGTACATTTGAACACTTGGAGCCCATTTTGTTTTTTGATAATCGCATGCCGCATTACGCAACCATTTAAATTTATTACTAGCAGATCTGAACTTATTTTTTTTTTTGTGTACATTCGAACATACTTTTATGCGTGTTCAATTATATATATAACAAGATTCTGAGTGTCCAATACTGATCATTTGTGAATAACGTGAGATTCAAACGTCATTCATTCGTGTCAAATATATGATATGTCATTTTATTTAAATTATTTAAATAAAGTTAAAAATCATATTGAAATTTTCAATTGTATTAAATACATTGTATATAGTTATATAATTAAGCTCATACAACAAAGAAAATATTTTATTTTTTATTTAAATATTACACAAAACTCTCTTTTCATTCTCAATGTAAAAAATTTTTTGTTTTTAAATTACATAATCAATTTTTAAAGTGTAAAATTAAATTAAAATTAAATGTTAAAATAAATCTGTTTCTTTAGAAAATTTTCATAATTTTACTATCATTAATAATTAGTTTACCATATTTTGTTTTTCTTTACGTAAATTTTATTCAAACTCACCTAAATTAACATAATAAATATTTTAAGTTTAAAATTGAATACTTGCTACATTTTATTTTTACATATTTTACTATTTTGACTCTCTATTTTTTCTAAAACTTTTTCACAAATATATATTATGTATGTGTATGCGTATGTATGTATATATATATTTTCTTTTAACTTTGTAATAGGTACATAATGTAAGTTATGTGTGTGTCTGAAATCAAAGAAAAATCTTGTAATGACAAAGAAATTACCACACAACAAATTAATGAACATTCATCACACTCTTTGTGTTCTTTGACAAGAATATTTTGTATATATGCAGTTAAAACAGAGAATATAACCACATTTTGATTTACCCCTCCCCTTAATATACATTTCATTAAGTCATATCAAAAATTTAGTAAATAAAAATTACCCTCTTTCTATTAATATCATACACTATTAACATATCATAATAAAATATCCTTATAGGTACTTTGTTTTATAAAATTTACAAAAAAAAAAACAAAAATTTGTAGTAATGTCCTTTATTTCATTCTTTGATTATTTTTTGCTTGCTAGTAGAAAATAATGCAACAACACACAATATACAAATGCACAATAAAATAATAAAAAAAAAATTCGTAA